TCCTTTCCAAAGTTTTGAAAATCCATTTTTACAGCAAGGCTAGCGAAACATCTAATGAGCTTCGATTCAGGAAAGGCACATCCTTTTAACTTGAATTTGGCCTCAAAACATGTTTGGCCCAGTCAAATGTCTACCAATCTTTTCAGTTACAATGGCTACCTCTTTCACTGCAGTGAAATAGATTATAGACAGCACCATTTCCCAAGTTCTTAAAATTTCTAGAAATGACATAAAAATAAATATGTTAGAGAACATCCTGCTTTTATTCAGAATATCTTGATTCAACGAGTTTCTAGTGACTAGCTTTCCTTCACACCCAGCTTCCTTTCTGTCGGGTGTATCTTTCTATTATTTAATCCAATTTTATATGTTTTAAAACACATGAATTCAGCATGGAAAAGAATTAGCGTAAGGAGTATAAATGAATTATTAATAGGAGAGGGAACAGGCACATTCACATAGACTTGGTCGTATTTAATCTGGAAGAGCTTAATTGAAAGTTCTCTTATCAGCCTAACAATAGTGAACTATAATGACCTTGATTTAACAGAGACAGGGACGCTATCTATCTTCCTTAGTGGAAAGATGAGAAGCAAGGGTCAAGTGTCTTAGCCAGGTATTACATAAATGAAATACATGTGTAATGTACAGATCTTAGAAAATTCATATGGTTTGAAGAAGAAAATAGCTATAAAACCTATTAGTCTTTTTTACTAAGTTCTCTTTTAGAACTGGATTGCTATTGTATGTTCAATTTTATAATATCCCAATTTCCATATATGACATAAGAGCCATTTTCATGTCCTTAAAACATTATGAAAATTCCAGTGAGGTAGAATTCATCCAATGTGTAGATATATTCTAATTTATATACAAATTCAGAGGTTTTTCTCCTAATATAAAATAAATCCGTGGTAAATATTCTTATAAATAAATTTGCATATACATTTGTGTACACTACATTTTTAGAAACAGTATAAATACTTTGAAACATACCAAAAGGTTACATACAGAAGATATTTAACAAAATGTACTCCCTCAGGTAGTGAATGAGAATGTGCTTTTACTCTAACTCACCCAACTACTTGCTTTTAAAAATCATTAAGCTCCTGTGTGGTTCAGTGGGTTACGTGTCTGCCTTTGGCTCAGGTCACGATCTCAAGTTTACTAACCTACAGTTTACTAATAATTTGTCTATCTTTCAATTTTATTTCTGATTTATGGTATTCAGATCAAAATGCAATGTTGTGTCAGGCTGTTTATTTTTTCCTTCCATTGGTGTTTGTTCAAAAGGTCCCTTCAATTACTGACATAAATAAATATGTAATTTTATTTACTGTTTTCCTCAAGACATTTTTTATTAATTGCATTAATTCTTGAATTCATTAAAAACAACTTTTCACACAAAGAAGGAGGTAAAAGTCCAAATTTGATTTGTTTTGACTGATAGCCAACAAAATTTACTGAGCAATCAGCCTCTCATTTTTCTTCTGATTTATGGATCCCTCCTTACTGTACAGTAAGTTCCACATCATACCAGGTTCTGCATTTACCAGTCCATCAGCCGATGATCTATGATTTTATAGCATATTTAAATTCAGTAAGATCAAGATTGCCTATTTGTTTTTCTTTAAAATCCCTCCTGTCAAGTAACTTTTAGAATCTTGGTATTGCTCTTAAATTTTCATTAGCTTGCTCTGTAATTTCTAAATACTATAAATGGCTTTCTGAAATATCTGAACAAACACTACAGAGTAAAAGAATAACAAAGAGAGAAATATAAAACCTCTCTCAAAAAAATAAAACCTCTTTCATCTCAACATTCATGCTGTTAACATTTTTGAGCATATACTTTCAGGATCTCTATCAGAGATGATCTAGGTAGGCTTGCGTCTATTCTTCTGAGGCAAGTAAACAGAAAAGTGTTAGAGCCTGATCGATCTTTTTCAAGATAGAAAAAAAATTAATTCATAGGATCACAACCATACATTTATCACAGGATTGCAATTGACTTTTAAATTACTAAAAAGTATAATCTTAATTTCTCTTAGATTTGTCACAAGTAAACCATTTAATGAGCTGGATTCACACAGATCCCCCTCTGTATATACTAAATTGTGTTTTATTTAACTTGAAACATGGTTAAGAACATATCACAAAGATTCCCCTGATAGCAGGCCAGTCACGGGAAAATACTTTCCCTTGTTTTTCTTACTTCCTGACAATGAACTGCTTCACTGACTCCAAGTACATTACAAAGTACAGCACCATTTAATTCCTAACTTCATTTCTGTATGTGTTTATTCAACAATATCTTGGTGATAGGAGGTGCTCAGTAAGCATTTGTTGGATGGAGAATGAATGAATGAAATATACTACTTAAATAGAGCACTGTATGAAATAGCACATTATTAATAATTACACAGGAATTCTTAGAAGTGGCTAATGCAGGAACAAATGTAAGCTTTTTATTCACAGCAGAGCCCAGGAGATGAATAGTGGGCACATGCAATGTGTGATTTATTCATACTTTCAAGTAGGAGATTTATAGGCATCTATTAACTGGCTCGAGTTCCAACTCTGTCCTAGGCTGGTCTTTTGTCATGATTAGCTATGTTGTGACTCTATGTTAAATAACAGGTTGTCTGTGTTGAAATATGCAAGAAATATGAAGACAGAAGGTCAAAATTATTATATATGTACACCGTTCCAGCTAAATCATAGATACATCTCTGCTTGTGTATGCAAAAAATTAGACATGTGGATATGCACAAAAGTAAAAGAGATTTTTTCCAGACCTGGATCCATTATAATAGACTGGATGTGTCTCCCAAATAATTAATATGTTGAAGTCCTAACCTCCAATAACTCAGAATGTGACCATATTTAGAGAGAGGGTCTTTACAGAGGTAAGTTAAAATAGGGTCATTAGAGTGGACCCTAATCCAGTATGACTGGTGTCCTTATAAGAAGAGGATCAATATAGACAAGTACAGAGAGAAGGAAATGAGAAGACACAAGGAAAAGATGGCCATCTATAAGCCAAGGAGAGAGACCTGCAAGGGTGCCCTTTCAGTCACGACTCTCAGAAGGAAGCAACTCTGCCGACACCTTGAGTTCAGATTTCTAGCTTCCAGAACTGTGATAAAATACACCCCTCTTGTTTAAACCACTCAATCTGTGGTACTTTGTTAGAGCAGCCCTAGCAAACGAATGCACCATGAACAAATACAGAAATATAGTGAGGCTGTATGTTGAAAAGGAATAAGAGTTATTTTTGTTATTTTCAACATTCTCCATTTTTGAAAAGATTAAGTGTACCCACCTGCATATTGTGGTGGAGCCTGATCTGATCCTTCCTTTGGGTGAAACACCATCTCAAAAGTCACTGCTCTAGGTGAGACTTCTGATTAATCTCTCTACCAATCTCCCATCCAAGTACTAAACAGGCGCAACCCTGCTTAGCTTTCAAGATCAGACGAGATCGGGTACGTTCAGGGTGGTATGGCTATAGACCCCCTCCACCAATCGATTAGGAATTCAAACTTAATGGACTGCATTACCCACTCCCCATGATGATCAAGGGGTCAGCATATGGTTGAGTATCTATGAGAGCCTGCATACAATTCATGCTTTGAATGGGTAGGTCACTCTTGGCTTCTCCCTTGAGGTCTTAAAGTCACTTATGTGCTTTCTACCTCCGTCTACACTGACCCAACAAATATAACAAAACAAGAGGGATGAGGGAAGGAGCATTCCCACTCCCCTTCATCCCCAACCCAATCCAACAAAAGACATAAATGGGGTATACATTTTGTAAGTGGGGTAAATGTAATGGCACTTCTCAAGTGACATGGAAGCCGTGCTCTCAAGCATGAGGAATGGTCACAGTTCAGCTTACCCTGACTGAATGCATGGTGACTCTTACAACCATCTGCCACTGTCACTTATCAGCTCTTCCAAACCTGTGCTGCCCCCTGGGACAACTCATTTTCCTCATGGACTGAAGCTGGCTCTTAGAGCCAGGCAGGATTTGCCAACACATTCTAAGCTCCTAACTATAAGACGCATTTCTCTGTGCCATCTTAATAAAACAACATGGAATGAAGTTTGTAATAGAGGAAAAAGTCAAAATTTTCCATGCTTCATGATTCAGAATACTTAATCTAATAAGTGTGTCATATGAGAAGAGTAAATAAAGAGAAGGAAAGGTGTGTGGATATATATGTTCGCTGAAGCATATACAATTGCAAGAAAAAAACAAATTACCAGAGTAGTGCTGGAAATAAAAGCTCAGTGGGAATTATTTTTTGGATGCTAATTTGATTCTTCTATGGAACCTTAAGGCTGCAGTGTCTACAAGTGCACTATTTATCTCCATTTGTTTTTATTTTTAGCATGTATATACCCTTAAGTCCCTAAAAACCTATTAAACACCTCCTGGTCTCTACTGGGAATCTTCCCCAAGTAGTTCTCTACCTAGACTATATAACAGGACTATGATTCCATTTACCACATCTTGCTGGAGAGTGTTTCATCAAAAGAGGTATTAAAAAATAATGAAATTAGTAAATGGGGGCAGAATCAAGATGAGCTCCGGGTTTCTGTGGACACAGTTACAATCTGGGATTTGGTTCACGATCAACACTGAGATGCCCGAGTTTAGACGAGCAGCAGGCTCTGTGGGGCCACAATGTGCAGTGCTGCAATTAGGGATGTTTTCTGAGCACAGGCCAACGTGCCTAAGTCCCGCAGCAAAAGTGCAGGCCTCTCAGCTGGGGGGATGATCCCATCTATTGGATTGGTAGACAGAAAAGCAAACCCTTCCTTGCCAAGGTAAAATCCAGATATTGTCTATTTTAACTCCATTGTTCCCTTCCTCAAATACCAAAGACACCAGCCTTGGCCCTTCCCACGTTAAGACTCCTGATCCCGTCATCCCAGCAGCTAGGCCGCACGCATCCTGCCCTCCCAGGCCAGGCCAGCCCCCAGGGGCTTACCGACAGTGCTTGTGGGATCCCGTCAGGGTTTCAATCACAAAGCACTCGCCATCGTTGAGACAGTACGTGAGGTCCTTGTCTCGGCAGGGTTTGAAGTGCTCAGACCGCTCGGTGGAATATGTCGTTGTATCTGTCAAGGGAAGACACCAGAGATGCAGTCAGCGGCGCATCCCGCCACCACGAGGCCCCAGCACCGGCCTTGCAGCATTTGGACCTTTGCACCGAGGATGTCTCGTGGACACGGACCCCAGGCCTCCAGGGAGAGAGGACAGCTGTGCCACTGAAGAAATGCAACTGGATCTGACCACTTTACCACTGCATGCCCCCCACCCCATCCACATATTGAAAACTAGTCACCATGAGATGATCCTGGGGGCGCCTGTAGGAGGTGATCAGCTCACGAGTGGGATCAGCACCCTTACAGGAGAGGCCCCAGGGTCTCCCCCGCCCGCTGCAGTCATGGGAAGGTGGACAGAAGGGAGCCCTCTGTGAACCACTGCATCTGCAGGCACCGTGATCGTGGCCTTGCCAGCTTCAAACACTGTGAGAAATGGCTTCTGTAGTTTGTGGGCCCCCCGTTCTGTTACAGCAGACCCCTGCCCCGACTCAGGTGGTGCTGTACTCAGGTGGCTTATTGCTCCACTAGACGTTAGTGCCTGGAATCCTTCTCTAAGGGCCAGCCGAGGACACAGTCAACAGTGGAAGCCGAATGGTTCTGCAAACACCCCAAATCCACTTTCGTTAATTTCAATTTTGACAAACGTGTTGTATGAGAGATTGAAATGCCATCTCCTTCCCTTTCTTGTTGCCCAATGTCATGGAACATCAGATCAATGCAGAATATGACCATTCTGTGGAAATCAATGTTAGTGTCTATGGGTCTTTTTGTTTGTTTTTAGTTACAGGTTTCATTGGCTAGTGGCTGAATCAATTATTCTTTCACTGCCCCCCCCTTTTCATATGTAATTAAGATGCAACATGTTCTGGATTCTGAAACAGAATCTCAAATGCAAAGAGTATTTCTGGTAAATACCTAACAGAATGCAATTATCGTCTTCTTAAAGCAGTATTTTAAACATTGGTTTTTAAAATCATAATCACTTACAATTTTTAAATTAAGCTGTATGTCTACATCCTCATCCTCAATACGAAACTAGCTATAAGTACGTACGATCAACTAGACGCAGACTCACTTGTTACATATTCTAGCCTCAGAGTTTTAAGCAAGTGAAGGATTTGCAGTAACTCCACTGTGACATTCAAGAAAAAAATACATTTAAAAAGTCAAAGAAGGGGGCATTGGGGTAGAACAATTGGTTAAGTGTCCGACTGTTGATTTTGGCTCAGGTCATGATCTGATGGTGATGGGATCAAGCCCAGAGCTGGGTTCTTTGTTGAGTGGGGAGTCTGCTTGAGATTTTCTCTGTCTTCTACTGTTCCCTACCTACCCGGCTCATGATCTGTCTCTCAAATAAATAAATAAATAAATAAATCTTCTAAAAAATAACATAAAAAGTCAAAGATGAATAAATTATTCTTCACTTAAACTCTTTTAATTTCCTTTACTTAGGGATGCCTCAGTGGCTCAGTGGTTCAGCATCTGCCCTTGGCTCAGGGCGTGACCCCGGGGTCTCAGGATCCAGTCCCGCATCGAGCTCCACACAGGGAGCCTGTTTCTCACTCTGCCTGTGTCTCTGCCTCTCTCTCTCTCTGTGTCTCTCATGAATAAATAAATGAAATCTTAATTTGTTTTCCTTTACTTAGATCTAGCTTGATAATCATGTTCAATAGCATGGGTTACTGTACCTGCTTAGTAACTGGAAGTCACTATGAACCTCTTCTTGCTCATCAACCAAACTGAGCAGAAAGTGATTGCTCTAAAAGGAAAAATATTCATATGCTTCCCACGCCTATAATCCCCCCATCCCCATAGGAAAAACCCCAAATTCCTCAGAGAAGGACATAGGCCATGCAGAATCTTGCCCTCTGGTGTCATCTTCTTGTACCCGAAGACAGGCAACTTCATTCCCAATTATTTTCCTATCTCCCCAAACAGCAGGAGCTGTCACACTTTCTCCTTCTTACCATATTTTTCTTTGCTGGAAGACAACCAGAAATCCTTCAGAGCTTCCATCACTTTCTCACGGTGTCTCCCTAGCACATTTTATCACTCACATCACTGCATTCAACATTCAAGGCTGCAAGCAGCCACTCGTTCACATGTTTATCTGTGTCTTTAGTCTCTACGTTTCTTAAGGTCAGAGGTGGAGTCCTGAATCATAATGGGAGCTCAGTAAAAATGTTGCCAATAAATCTTGATCACTCTAACAGTGCTAACAGTTTAAATGCCATTGGTGAAATGCATGATCATTAAAGAAATCATCATAATCATATAAAAGTTAATGCATATCTTACAAGTTAAATATAATTTGCTATCAATCTTATCATTTTAGTATACCTATTTTAATTCATTTTATTTATTTATTCATAAGAGAGAGAGAGAGAGAGAGAGAGAGAGAGAGAGAGAGAGAGAAGCAGAGGGAAATGCAGGCTCCACGCAGGGAGCCTGATGTGGGACTCGATCCCGGGACCCCAGGATCACGCCCTGGACCAAAGGCAGACGCTAAACTGCTGAGCCACTCAGGGATCCCTAGTATTCCTATTTTAATATTGAGGAATATTGGGAAAACAAACATTGACCTCAGATTCACATAAATCTTCACTCACATACTGCTCATATAACGTAGGCATGGAAAAAGCCCACTTCTAATATCCTCCTTTTTGGTGACACCACAGGAACTTCTTTTTCCACTTCAAAATATCTGTCTGTTAATACTTTGGCATGAAATAAAGGCTCTGCAAAACAGACACATTTTCTATGTTCCAGGAGATCTCCTCTACAGAGAAGATCTGTTATTCAAGAAAATTTGCAATAAATAGTTACACGGAATCAATCTCTCTTTCTACTGGAAATATTTAAAATTCAAGAGCTCTGAGCAAAATATTCAATATGAAACACCACACAGTTGATTGCAACTCTGACTGCTGAAGTATATTAACTCATGATCAGTTAGTTAAGTTCTCCTTTAATTTCTTATTATCCATTTATTGATATTCACTGATCATTCCTCTAAGAACAGCTTTTCATTAACATAACCTACAGCATAAAAAGTGAGATCCTTATTTTATAATCAGTGGTTTTAACAAGCTACAGACTCCAAGAGCAATACAATGGCAAAGCAATTACAATCAATTAGTTTCCATCTGACAAGTGCTGTCTCCAGTGGTTACCTCCCCATCCTACCAACTGCCTTCCCCATCACGTTATCATCTATCAGCACATAACAGAGGCTCTAGACCCAAGTAAATGCCTCTGCAGAATTCCAAGGTGGGCGAGTACAGGGATATCAGGCTGAACATGTTCTCAGGTTTTCTATTTCCATAGCTCGGAGAATCCAAAACTTAATAAAAACACACATGGTTATCCCCTGCAATGACTTGGTTGGATTTTTTAAAAAACCCACCGCTGTTAAATATTTTTCATATCTTACTATAATAAACAGTAACAGAATGCCAGGCTTGATCCTTCTATCGGTATACTGCAATCATCAATAAGTTTGAAACCTTAGGTTTACCTAAACATTTCACTATCTAGCGTCCATACATCACTACTCACCTCAAATCACAGAGGCACTGGGCAATGTAAGCACGATTCACCACGAGGTAAAATTTTACACTCGTAGGGCATCGTGCCAGATATGTCAGTGGAAAAATAGAAAAATTCCTTAATGGAATCACTAGGCTGTTAGACTAACTCTAGGAACATCAACTCACTTCTGTAAAGTAGTAAAAAAAAAAAAAAAAAATAAGTAAACTGTGCCGAGCCAGAGTTAGGTTCTCTGTCACTCATAAACAAACACAGCCCATCAAAGAGACAACAATAATTTTGGATGACACCCTCCACAATTTGTGCATCTGCTCACGAGTGCATGTAGCTATATGTTTGGTTAATTGTTTAACATATAGACTATATTATAAACATCTAAAATTAAACATAAATGCAAATGAGAAAACAATAAAGTATGAGGTTTACTTCTTTATTTTCTTTCTGTCCCCTACGGTGACACAGTGTGCTCTAAAATATCCAGGTGAACATCTTGTTTTGAAGAGAAAATAGGGGACATCTGGAAGAATGACATAATGGATATGCTCTAACTCCAGACTATCGTGACCCTAAATAACCCTTTGGGACGCCTTAACAATCCCACATCTGTAAACTTATCTCTCATCCGTATTATCTCTCATCTATAAACTTATCCAAGATTTTTGGAATATTTATATATTTATATATCTAAATATTTATATTTAGATATTCAAAACTGGTTTACATTGACAACGGTCTAACACACTAAACTGGCTACAGTATATGGTACTGTTTTGTTATGTAATTAAGATTCAAAGGGCGTCCTCTGTTTCTAGGAATGTAACTAGACAAATTGTTAGAGGTTTTGATTGTCTTAAAAAAAATAATCACATGGATGAAGGTCCAGGCAAGTACACTAGGAGGGGCCCACTATTCCCATGAATTCCCATTTGATTTTCAAGGTTTTTTCTAACTCCAGAGCACCTCCTTCTCAGACATTATTCAGTCCACCTCATCAGCCCATGAATCTCCCATCTGACCAGTCCCTGAACTCCTGAGGGAGAGAGGGGTCTTCATATCTCTGACCCAAGGTCTTATGAATGGTCTGACACAGAGGTGAGCATAATAGGTGTTTACAGAAGAATGACCATTTTTATACATGAGCATTTTTCTAAAGGTTCTGTATTGACAACTGCACATGCTTTTCATAAAAGAAAACTCCACCTGAATAACTGGTCAGAAGTTAGGACTCCAGAAAAACTTCAAAAGCAATTTAGGTAAAGTGTATAGAAACTGATGAGAGGAGGGAAAAATCAACTCCATGGGAAGAGGGGCTGAGACAGAAGAAAAAATTAGGGATGATATTCTAAAAGAGAGGACAAAGAAATCTTAAATGGAAGATGAATGGAGATGGTGCTAAGGATGGGCCTTCCAAGCACCATGACCTAAGTGTAAGGTCTCAGGCCAAGAAGCGTAGTTGTTGGCAT